CCCCCCCCCCCTGCCAGCACGCCACTGTTATAATTATCCTCGATTATAGCAAGAACGAAGTGCTTGCCCTTCCAGTAGTGACACCAAATAATTAAACTTGTCGATAATTGTTAACTGGGTATTCTTGTCCACTGCGCTTTCAAATATCTCCCAAAATGACTTATAATTTGTCACATCACCCTTAAATTTTGGCAAGATTAACTTCGGTAAATTCGATCTAACAGAATTAGATATATTCATGCTCGGTGTTGAATTCGTGTTCGGAATTTGCGTGTTCGTTCTCGGCGTTGGCTCGTGTTCGTATTCTGTGGTGAATTTAGTATAAAAATGGCTTCACTCACATGCGTTGTCGTGTTTTGCTTCGTAACATTGTTTGTTTCCACAACTTGCTTTGTCTCCTTATACTCGTTGTATCGATAGATACGCTCAAAAACGTCGTAATTTTAGCCCGTATATCACATGCCCGCGAATACACTTCCTCGCTTTCCTCAATTTCTTGAGCAATGTTGGCCACCTCGCATAGCTCTAGAATTTGACTATCCAGTTCGTACGAATAGCTCTTTGCACGTGTTCTTTTAAATGACGTCATTATACCGGAAGTTTCTCACAAAGTGCTTTGCTAATGCCACTCACTTTTATGGTATTTCACGTTATCAGTTTAAGCAACTTTTGAATCTTTCGGTGAAAAGTTGTCATTTTTTATTTGATTGTGTTTTTTATAAACAAGTCAGTGAAGGTGTCTTTTCATGAAAAATCTTGGTTAGCTAACTGCCCTTCCAACCTTAAGTCGCTGTTCTATTGTCGCTACCTAGATGATTGCTTCTTAATTTTTCAATCGCGTGACCAAGTTCATCCTTTGCTCTCCTATCTAAATTCCAAACAACCCAACATTCAATTTACACATAAACTAGAGAGCAATTCAACTCCTCCTTTTCTTGATATTAAGATAAAACGTACCAGTTTGTCTTTTTTACCACCGTCCATCATAAATCTACTTCTACAGGCTTGTTTATCAACTTTGACAGTTCTATTCCAATGATATACAAGAAAAGTCTACTCTGCTCTGCTCTGCTCTGCTCTGCTCTGCTCTGCTCTGCTCTGCTCTGCTCTGCTCTGCTCTGCTCTGCTCTGCTCTGCTCTGCTCTGCTCTGCTCAGCTCTACTCTACTCTTATCTGCTCACTGATATTTCGCAATTTTAACAACTGCTTTCCTATGTCCTTTTTCACTCTGAGAAAACTTTAAGAACCCCTTTAATTTTCTCGCAATGGTTATCCCAATGCACTTCTGGATGCCTGTAACAAGTCATTTTTAGACAAAATTTATGAAACTAGGGATAAAGTTCCGTTTCCAACTTCATAAAATACTCTCTTCTGCGTATACGCAAATTTACATACGCGTGGTCCCCTTCTTTCCGCCTCCCCAGTTTCAAACTTGCCGACACATACAGAGGCGTTTTTCTGCGCATATGGGTGTTTCGTTGTTGACTGGGAAGAAACGTTCTGTTTCTACACTGTCTAGTATTCTCACCCATACTCACTTTATTAAACATCAGATTTCTACGTCTGATTTCAAAATTCATTCTTCTGGTACTTTAGAAATGGCTCTACTTATTCGTGAAAGCGTTTCCAAATCCAAAATTAATACAGTCTTAAATACTAACATTAAGTCAATCTCTCTTAACCTTTTTTTAATAGCATCATATAGCATCATAACACACAAACCTAACAATAATTAACTAGTTACTAACAACTACATGACAGGTTGTTTTTCCTCTCCCTACTTACTCGTTTATTTTAATTATGTAACCGTTTTAATAGTAATTTGTAAATATGTATAGCATACTCCTGTAAATAGTTTTAAACGTTCTGAAGATGTTGTGATGTATAGAACGAAACGTCAGCTAAATAAATTTTATTCTTTATTGTTAAGTCTTGTTTAAAAGTCATATGCTGGGCTTTGATATTTATTTTTAAATTACGTTTTCCGCCTACCATTCTATCTATGACATGTTTTTGTCTAGGTTTATGCAAAAGTATGGTTGGCTGGTCTTTACCTGGGTATGGCATTTTTGACTAACCAATCACTAGCAATGTTTAATTTATAGCCAATATTATACCCATCCGTGGTCAGGAGAAAAATAAGATCAGACCAACGTGACGATAAAACGACCACACTTTTTTGCCCAAACGTAAACCAAAACGTATAAAATCTTGAGTTCTATTGTTGTTCCAAGCGGTTTCAACCATGCTTGTGCCAATAACTAGGACAAGTACTGTATATAAACTTGAACAAACCTGATCTTTGGCCGCCTGGTCGTCCCCACAGATGAAAACCTGGCGACTTCCACCAAAGACATCATTTTCTAACGTCCACGCTGACACCATATTCAATCCTTTAACAACACGTGCTCCGGGAAGCAAGCTTGCCAAATATTCCGCGTGTGACGAGCCATCACACGAAGCCTGGGTAGGATTGCTGACGTCAACCACAATCTTGTTTTGAAGTAACTTTCCATACAACTCCACCATGCGGTCATAACCTTCGCGCGGAATGGCCAACATGACGACTTCCGAATGGTTACAGGCATCGTCAATTGACAAAATTTGGAAGCTGCGCAATATTGAACAATTTTTCTTGCTTTCGGGTGATCGGCTGCCCATGACGACGTTATAACCAGACAATGAGAGGCGTTTTGTCAGTGCCCTGCCGAAGTCACCTGTGCCAAGAACTGTAACGGTAAGACTTGTTTTTTTTGTTACGTCGTTTATCTTATCCATTTCCAGCATTGTTGAATTACATGCGTTGCTGAACACAATCTCGCTTGTCTCTCCAGGGCCACGATTACTATTCTCCATGATAAGCGAACTCTGTAAAATTAGCAAACCATAAATGTGTTATGTCCTTGTTTTAAGTAATTAATGATATCTAAACTTCTTCGGTCCAATGTAGGCAATGATGAACAATAACGAATAGTCTTGGATATCACTATTTAAAACGAAAGAAAACAAACTTCGACGTTTCGTGCAAGGCCAAAGGCTATTTTTAGACGATGGAGATTCAAGTCCCAAAACTACCTTGGCACTGTTTTAAGTAGGCCTAACACTTAGTCCAAGAATAGTAAAAGGTACGAACATTCAAGGAGGTTATATAAATAATAACAATAATAATAATGATAATGATGATGATGATGATGATGACGATGACGATGACGATAATCATAATAATAATTAATAATAATAATAATAATAATAATAATGGAAACTTTATTAAATGTTTTTCTTTACATACATATACAATCGTAAATCTCTCTCATAAAGGTAACTTACGGTTGGCTATTTGAATCACAATTATACTAAACTAAAATAACAGAACAAAGTGCATGCAATATATATATATATATATACAATGAGATAAGTCAAATTGTTAGTAAATCCGGATTTTCCCATTCCTTATTTCGGCAACAAAAAATGTAATATGTAGTTCTAATAGCAATAGTCATCATTTTCCTAACGCAGTACATTTGGTGGTTTTTGTCAAGACCAATACTATCTAACATGTCTAAAAATGTATAACATTCTTCTGCAAAAATACCTAAAGAGCTGATGGAGAGATTTATAAATTTAACTTGGTTAAAATTTTTACCTAGCTGTCTCAATAATTCTCTATATTTATCCTTCTTCCGTTTTACGTTGTTTTTGAGGTTTGTCTCATAACCAGTGGTGAGTTCAACCACATATAAGGAACCATTTGAGCACGATAATAACAAATCTGGGTGATACGTATCACCAGTAAGCATTGAAGGGCTTTTGAATCCATTTAGATCAGCGTAGAGAGTAGAACCGTCAACAGTTTGTAACTGATGAGCAAGAAAGTTCAGGACTGAATTGTGTCTCCACGTAAATCGGTCGAGATAAAACTGACATCCAGCTACTATGTGTAGTAATGTTTCAGGGCTAAGACAAAAAGAACAGTCTGAATTTGAAGATATTGCCCATCTGTTTAGGTTAATAATAATAATAATAATAATAATAATAATAATAATAATAATAATAATAGAAACATTTATTATTAAATAATGATTTTACATAGTTAAAACAAGGCACCAGCACTCACTACAATATGTAGGCATCCAGGATGCTTTTATGGTACAGAGAGTTAAAAGTATTTACAATATGGTGGTGAAAGTCAAGATTACCAATATAAAAGTTCTGGGTTTTTCCATTCCCTGTCTCTCATGCAAAACAGAATGTACGTAGTCCTAATGCAAACTCCACATAGTTTTCTAATTAAAAAGTTTTTTTGAAATATGTCTAAGCTCATTACATTCTCTAAAAAGCCATAAATCTTTTTACACTCTATTCCAATTACACCAATAGCCCCCATTGATAAATTGAGATACTCAACGGTATTACGTCGTTGCTTCAAAGCATTACAAAGTTCACTATAGCGTGCTGTTTTCCTAATACAATTTTTAGTAATGTCAGTCTCAAATCCAACAGTCAATTCAATTACGTAAATTGCTCGATTGGTGTAGTTCTCAATGATCATATCCGGTCGGTCATCAAATCCAGTTACAACTGATAGATTTTCGAAGCCTTCGACATCAGCGTAGAAGCGTAGATCTTTCTTAACGCGGAGCGGACGTGTAGACTGCCATTGAGAGTAAATAAAAACAACCCAGCTTTTTCGGTCTGGTTTTATATTGCCAAAGACCTGTCTGAATTTCATTCGCATTATTCTCACATTTTATCAATTGTGGTGAACATCACGCTTAGTACGACGTCTTCAGAGGTTGATAAATTAATTTTCCTGTTCTAAATATCGTTAACTACGTTTTTCTCCGCTTTTTAGAAGATTTTTTAGTAAAAAATTGTTTCACTCCTGCAAAAACCACAGCGGGCCAGTTGCGTTTCAGAGCGGGTTGGTCCTCGACCAATCAGATTGCTTTATTTTCACCGCACTGCGAGTATTGTAACAATGTCTATCCATTTGTCGGAGTAAGGCAGCATCAACACCTTCTCTGTCCTGATGAAGACACCAAAATACATTGTACATCAAAATACATTTGTGCAAACGTCTTCTCTCCTCAAGTGTCTCCCAAGGCCGTACATAGCGGGGGGGGGGAGGGGGCAATGCCCCCTTCAGAGAAAACTATATTTACGATTTATATAATGTCATTAATAATTATTCTTTGGATATTTGGGACTTTTTTCGGCATATTGGCCTTACTGCCCCCTGGTAAAAAAATTCTGCGTACGGCCCTGCAAAATTGGTATATAATACAACCATTTTACCTTTGTTTGATTATAGTGACGTTGTGTGGGATAACTGTAGTATAACGCCAAAGACTAAATTTCAAAGATCCAAGCGCGATCAGCAAGAATTATACTATAAATTATACATTAAAATTATAAATTAAAATAAATACATTAAAATGTTCCAGCAATACTACAGGGAGCCCAACTCTGTGGGCTCACTGAAATTTTATTACCGGCTTTTCTCATCAGCCGTATACTCCGTAATTTGAGAAAGCTTAGATTCTGCTAAAGTGCACTTCGAAATAGCACGTGCTGTCCTCTTCTGCCATTAAGGTAAAACGAAAAATTATATTACGCTCTATCTATATGGTATTGAGCAATGTGCCAAATATATATATATATATATATATATATATATATATATATATATATATATATATATATATATATATATATATATATATATATATATATATATATATATATATATATATATATATATATATATAGTAAGTTGCTTTTATATGAAAAGTTGCTGTATATGAAAAGTTGCTTTTCATGTCATAGTGTTATCATAAAAAAGTAGCCTACCAAAAAATGGCAGATATTTGGCCTGCGTGAGAAAGGCTATTCAGTGAACGTTGTCCTCTGAAGGAACTGGTCCCCGAGCCGGCAGCGCGAAGCGCCGTGCGAGGGTACTAATTCCCCCCCCCCCCGGCTATTTACACCCGGGGAAACGAAAGCATTAGCGATGACGAGACAGACAGCTCCAGGTTCGCAGCTCCAGGTTCGCGAACCTGGAGCTCCAGGTTCGATTTCAACCTGGAGCTGGAACGACTAGTTACTCGCTGGGGCACCTGTGCCCGGGCGAGTATAGGTTTCGGCACACATTTTTAGTGGATTTCCAATAGTGGATCGCAATTTTCTTGTATAGCCACAAAATAGAATATTAATGAGCTACCCACTTTATCCTTTTCAAAATGGCGGCCTTGGTAGAGTGAGCAAAGTGTTTCGAACAATTTCGTTAAAATTTTCAACGAATTGTACCTGTTTTCTATGGATTTAGCATTGTGTCTAACTTTGGACATTCTTGCTAGTTTAGTTAATGCATTTTTCTTGGTGCACGACTCTGAAAATCCGAAATTTGGATCGTTGAATAACTTGAATCCCTGTGCACGATCATATAATATACTGAATCTGAATATAAACGAGCCAAAGACATGCACAATTTCAAGGTAAAAGGTTATAACTTAAACTACATAACGTAGTTTTAATAGATAACTACTTGATGAGAAGCATATTGGTGTCATATCAATATAAAATTTATCCAACAACAGTCTCTAAGGCCTAAATACTTATAGTTAGCTGTGAACGTGAACTGCAGTGTGAAATATGATATTGTATTTGTAATGCTTAATCTAATGGCGCAATAAGGAAAAAATACCACCGTTTGATTCAGTGTAAGAAATTGTACTTACGGATGTCAAATGTATTACTAAACAACAATATTCTAGCAATTTATGGCCTTTGAAAATCAAACGAAATTGTATTGTTGACTACTGGTCTGCGAGACCTCTCGCAGTATGTGTTTACTGTTGTTGACAATCACTCGACATACGCAGTACGTTTGACTTCGTATTTGTACTGTCTAATGGCGCAATAAGGATAAAAAATATCACCGTTCGATTCAACGTAAGAAATTGTACTTACGGATGTCAAATGTATTACTACACAACAGTATTCTAGCGGTTTATGGCGTTTGTCTTTGAAAGCCAAGCGAAATTGTATTGTTTTTGATTGATTGATTGACATCTTTATTTAAAACACGAGGTCCATTTCACAGGTTATGTTATGTGCTCTTCAATGGAGACGTGTACCTATACTAGTCGACTAATTACTAATAAAAAAGTATCAAACTATTTACAAAAGTAACAAACTACACATGCAAAGAAACTAATATAAGAGAAATATTAAGATATTTTAGATTTAAACTCAGCGAGAGATTGAACTCTAGTGAGTTCGACGGGTATGTCATTCCATAGGGTAGCTCCTCTGTAGGAAAAACTTTTCTTCAAGGATTCCGTTAAGGGTCTTGGTACAAAAAGTTTATGATTAGATCCACGCAAACTATGTTCGTGTATCATTGACGTGGAAGTAAATTTTCCAGACAAGTAACTAGGAACCATATTATTAACAGTTTTGTACATAAAAGTTTTGAACTGTTGGGTACGTCTGGTTTCAAGGTTGGTCCAATTCAATGATGTTAAAATGTCTGATGACCGGATGTTATAATCAGATTCAGTAATAATTCTTGCGGCCCTATTCTGTAATCGCTGTAACCTTTGTCCAAGACCCTTACCTAGGCTATCCCAGACAATACTACAATAATCAAAGTAGGGCTGTGCTAAAGAGTTATAGATCATGACAAGAGTTGACTGTGGGAGCAATGGTTTTAGTCTTCGTAGAACTCCAATCACCTTGGAGACTTTGGAGATTATAGTAGAAACATGATGCTCCCATGTCAAACTCTCGTCCAGTTTTAAACCTAAACACTTATAAGATCTAACTCTTTCAATTTTGTTTCCGGCGATAGCAATATTAAATTCTTCAGGAATAGTACTTAATTTTTGCCTGGATGCCATAAACATACATTTAGTTTTAACCGCATTCAGGCTTAGTTTATTCTGGTTAAGCCAGTTTTGGAGAGTTTTAAGGTCGTCATTTAGAACAGAAATCAACTTGTCAGGGTTGCTGTCCGCAAAAGTCAAGTTGGTATCATCGGCGAATAAACGCCCATCTGATACCAATTCACTATTAGGTAGGTCGTTTATATATATTAAAAACAGTAGTGGACCTAAGATAGATCCCTGAGGAACTCCACAGGTTACTTTACGAGTATCAGATCGTATGTTGTTAATAACTGTTATTTGAGTACGATCAGAAAGATAGTTTCTAAAAAGATCAATCGCTTCTTTGTTGAAACCGTAACAAGCTAACTTCTGCAGTAAAATGTTATGATCAATGGTATCAAAAGCCTTTTTTAAATCAATGAATAAGACAGCATTTATTAACCCACTGTCCATGTTAGTGTACCATTTATCAGTGACATCAAGCATAGCTGTTAACGTTGAGTTAAGAGGTCTAAATCCTGACTGTATGTCAGA